CAGAACTAACCCCAATCCTCTACAAGCTCTTCAAAACAATAGAGGAGGAAGCAACCCTCCCAAACTCATTCTATGAAGCCAACATCACCTTAATCCCAAAACCGGATAGAGAACCATCAGAGAAGGAAAACTACAGACCTATTTCTCTGATGAACATTGATGCTAAAATTCTCAACAAAATCCTAGCCAATAGAATTCAAAAAATCATCAGACAGATCATTCATCCGGATCAAGTAGGATTCATCCCTGGAATGCAGGGATGGTTCAACATTCGGAAATCCATAAATGTTATAAACCATATCCAAAAACTGCAAAACAAGAACCACATAATAGTTTCAATAGATGCAGAAAAAGCTTTCGACAAAATCCAACACCTCTTCATGCTAAAAACTCTAGCCAAAGTAGGCATAGATGGGAAAATCCACAACATAATTAAAGCAATTTATGAAAAACCCAACGCCAGTATCATACTGAATGGAGAAAAGCTAGAACCCTTCCCACTGAGATCTGGAACAAGACAAGGGTGCCCACTATCACCACTGCTATTCAACATAGTCCTAGAGGTACTTGCAGAGGCCATAAGACAAGAAAAAGAAATCAAAGGCATACGTATAGGAAACGAAGAAGTCAAGCTTTCACTATATGCAGATGACATAATCCTATACATAGAAAAACCAGGAGACTCAATACAGAAACTGCTAGAACTTATACGAGAGTTTGGCAGAGTGGCGGGGTACAAAATTAACGAACGAAAATCAACAGCCATAGTGTACGCAAATAACACCAAGATGGAAGAAGATCTAACCAACAGGATACCATTCAAAATAGCAGAGAGAAGTATGAAGTATTTGGGAATAAATCTAACCAAAAGTGTAGGAGACCTATTCGAAGAAAACTACAAACTATTTAAAAAGGAAATCGAACAAAACCTCAAAAGATGGAATAACATCCCGTGCTCCTGGATAGGCAAAATCAATATCATTAAAATGTCTATACTACCACAAGCAATATACATTTTCAACGCAATTCCAATCAAATTGCCCAAAACATTCTTCACGGAACTGGATACAATGATTCAACAGTTCATCTGGAAACACAAAAAACCACGAATAGCTAGAACCATCCTGAAAAATAAGAAATTAGCAGGGGGAATCACAATCCCGGACCTCTGGACATACTATAGAGCAGTGGTAATCAAAACAGCCTGGTACTGGCACAAAGACAGAAAGGAAGATCAATGGAATAGAATAGAAGCACCAAAAGGGAATCCACACAGATACAGCCAATTAATCTTTGACAAAAAGACTAATGACAGCTTAAGCAAGTGGGAAGGACTCTTTAGTAAATGTTGTTGGGACAACTGGCTGATAGCCTGTAGAAACAAAAAGATAGACCCACATCTATCACCATACACTAAGATCCAATCTACATGGATAAAAGACCTAAACCTACATCCAGAAACCTTCAAACTCTTGCAAGAAAATGTAGGAAATACCCTGCAAGACCTAGGAGTAGGTACCGACTTTCTAAGAAGGACACCAAAAGCAATAGCAGTTGAGAACAGAATAAACAAATGGGACCTCATCAAACTAAGAAGCTTCTGTACAGCAAGGGAAACAATCAACAAAGTAAAAAAGCAACCCACAGAGTGGGAGAAGATCTTTGCACACGATATAGGCGATAGGGGGCTAATTTCCAGGATATACAAAGAACTTCAAAACAACCAAAAAACCAAAACAAACAAGCCACTCAAGAAATGGGCACGGGAAATGGGCAAACATTTCACAAAGGAACAAGTCCAAATGGCAAACAAACATATGAAAAAATGTTCCAGCTCCCTAGCAATAAGGGAAATCCAAATTAAAACATCGATGAGGTACCACCTAACACCAGTAAGATTGGCCCACATAAACAAGAACACCAACGACGCTTGCTGGCGAGGATGCGGGGAAAAGGGAACCCTACTCCACTGCTGGTGGAGCTGCAAATTGGTACAGCCTTTATGGAAATCAGTCTGGAGAACACTCAAACAACTCAAAATCTGCATACCATATGACCCAGCAATAGCACTCCTAGGAATATATCCAAAACACCTGTTTTACGACAAACCAACATGCATCCCTATGTTCATTGCAGCACAATCAGTAATTGCGAAAACATGGAAGCAACCGAAATGCCCATCAGCAGAAGATTGGATAAGAAAGCTTTGGTTCATCTACTCCATGGAATACTACTCAGCTATTAAAAAAAACAAAATGCAGTTCTTTGTGGCTAAATGGGCACAACTGGAAACTATAATGCTAAGGGAAATGAGCGAATCCCAAAAGATTAGATACCACATGTTTGCCTTGATTTAACCTGTAATTTTTTGTTTGGTGGTTTGTTATTTTTTGAACCTGTCATTGATACTGTCTCAACCCAGATGTTTCGAAGAATGGAACTTGCATTATTTTTAACATATTGTTTACCCAATACTATGTCAATTAATTCCATAATGTTGTATAATGATACTGAGGCCTTGTTGGGGCTTTTAACTGACTGGATCTTTACTCTGTTAGACCTATCTTCAGACCATAGAAGGTCTCCCCAAGAGGCCACTGAACTTATCTGGACAATAAGACGCTGAACTTTATGCTAGGCAGGTGTTTGCAAGCAATGAATCTCAACTGAACTTGAACTATGGTTATGCAACAAGGTGGAGGAATCCACCATGGGGGGAGGGGTATGGGAGGGGTGGGGGGGATCCCCAGCGCCTATAAAACTGTACTACATAATATAATGTAAGCAACAATAAAAAAAAAAAAAAGTAAGTTAACTTGCGTTTGGAATGATGGCTCAATGACCAATGCTCCCCCTGCAAGTGCTAGGATCACGGGTGCCAATTCATGTCCTGATGGCTACACCTCCCATCCTGCTCCCTGCTTATCTGTGAAAGCAGTAGATGATGGCCCAAGTCTTTGGGATCCTGCACTTGCATGGGGAACATGCAGTAGGGCCCTGGCTCCTGGCTTCAGATCACTTTATCTCTTGCCATTGCAGCCATCAGGGGAGTAAACTAGTGGAGGAAAGACCATTTTGTTTCTCCTCCTCTTTGTAAAATCAGACTTTGTAATAAAAATAAATAAATCTTTTTCAATGTAAGTTAATTTTCCATATTATGTCCAGAAGTCAGACATGTTCACATCAGTATTAACTGGCCCTGTGACCCAGATGGCATCAGGGATTCAGGTTTTCCCAACTGTGGCTCTACTGTCCTTAGTGCCAAAAAAGGCATCCGATGTGGCTGTAGTGAGGGGTCTGGGCTGTGAAATCTACCCTTTTCCCTGAAAGCCTGTTTGGGATCTGCTGCTTTGTCTGCTTCTGTTCAAACTAAAGAAACCAGCAGGCTGGGCAGTTCTTTGTCTAGTTTCACCTCCTGAGCTCCTGGTAAATTCCCCTTTCAACTTGGCTGTTGGTGGAGCTGCAGCTGCTGGTGGAGTTCAGTTTGCTGCTTGCTGGAGTATCTGGTTACTGCAACACCATTCTATTGTCTGTACTGCTGTTCTTTCCATGTCTGTCAGTCTCCAGGTGCCCCTCTGCTGTTGGCCTGTCCTCTCCTATTTCCTGGAATGTGTCCTCTCTGGCTAATGTCTCTGCATCTGGTTAAACGTGTCCTTACCCCATTCCAACATCTTAATTCCCTTTGTCTCTTATGCTTAAGACCGGTGAAGCTTTTAAGAATTCCTGCAAAACATTTTTTAAGTGTCTTAGTGGGAAAAACTGGTCCCTAATCTGTATACCTATATCTTTACTAGCGTCTATATTATTCTATATTTAGTTACATATTTCTTCTCTAACAAAATATAAATTTTTATGGCCTGAAAGATTTCATTTTTTCTATGAAGTTACCAAAAATAATGTCAGATGTAGTAGGCATGCAAACAAGCAATGACTGCTCAAACAAATGTTCTTGTTAGTGTGTTCTTGCTGGATATTGTTAATTGCTTTTGCCAATTTTACACTTAAGTAGTGGACAAACAGATAACAAACGCAAACTGAGTATTGTAACATGTATTCTATCATCGGTAATTATTGCAATGTTTTTGTAGCACTGTTAAGGATAGAGAACTAATTTGAAGGATGAAATTTTAACTGTTTGAAAGAACCAAAATAAAGCAGTGCCAGAAACTTAAAAAAAAAAAAAGCCATTGCATGTGATGACCTGTTGGAGACCAAACAATGGCAGCTGCAGGTTGCTGCTGCCCTTCCCTGCTCCAAGGCATCCCATGTGAGGTGGTGCTGTCTCACCAGTCCCACAGCCTTGGTGCTGCCTATCGTTTCCTGTTGAAAGAAGTGGTTGGCAGAGACAGGATCGCCAGGTTTCAATGGGAGAATTTCAGATTATGCAAGCAAGCAGAAAGATTACATCCCTTCTAATCACAGTTCCTCTTTCTGGCTCCATCAGCCCTAAATTGATCTTAAAATTAATGTGAACAAATAGCCAAGGGTATCCTGCAAATGCAACCTCCAAAGAGAAATGATATCAAAATAGCTGTAGGTCCAACACTGTGGCTTAATGGGTCACGTGCAATTCTGTCATCCTACTTGGCCACTGGTTCAAGTCCTGGTTGCTTCACTTCTAAATCAGCGCCTTGCTAATTAGCCTAGAAAAACCAGCAGAAGATGGACCAAATTTTTGGGCCACTGCACCTACACAGGGGACCAGAAGAAGCTCCTGGATGTTGGTTTTGGTTAGCCCAGCCTTAGCCATCTCAGCCATTTGGGGCAGGTGTCCTAACTGGCATCGGGTCACAGGCTCCATGCTCACTCCAGTGTTTAGGGATACATAAACATGTGTTACAATTGTAAAAAACAAAATGGTGGCTAATAGGGATCTTAATGAAACAAGACAAATAGAGAAAATGATTGTTCTAAAATTAAGGCTTTGAGGAGTCGCTGAAACCATTTGATACTACTTTTATTTATCAAAGATCTTTTCCTTTTCTCTCCATGTGCCACAGGACATTTATTTACTCATGGCTCATGCGAGGGAGGCCTTTTCCAGCGTTCCTTCTTTTCAAAGCCTTTGTCTTCTGCACTGGGAATGGTTTACTCCAAAGCTACTATTTGATCTACTGTGCTGAGTACCCTGATGCATGGTACATGGATCTCAGGTTTAGCCTTGGTAAGTGAAGCTTACACATCTCCTTCTCCCTTCCCAGCCAACATTCCTTCCCGTGGTCTAAGTCACCCCCACCCTCTCCCCTGCTCCAATTGCTCCTTCTGCCCCTTTTGCCCATCTCGCACCTTGCTGGCAGCCCAAGAGGTTGTTTATGAATAGAGCATGTCATGTCCCACCTCAAAATGCTCCAAAGCTTTCTGTGACTCTACAGGGCAGATACCCATTACTTTCTGCTGCCAGTGAAACCCATGTGCTCTTGGCCTTTTTACCCTAACCTCATCTGCTGCCTCCCTGCACCTGCAGGGCAGGAACCTGACAAGTTCCAGAGCCAAAACTGTTTCCTCTGCCTAGGATGCTGTGCCCTATCACTCCCAGCCTCCATACTGTCTGGACTTCCACAACAGCCTCCTTAGTGAATGTCCTATTTTCATTTCTGTTGGTGACTCACCCTCCAGCAAACATTTGAAAACACAAATGACCAGAGTTTTAGTTGCGTGAATGCTGGAATGTGCATGCAGCAGAATGTGTTATGACGAGAGAGAGAGAGAGAGAGAGAGAGAGAGAGAGAGAGAGAGAGAGAGAGAGAGAAGCAATAGAACAAAAAGCAAAGATGATCTACATACTCAGGTAGAAAGACCTGTAGAAGGTGTGGTTATGTAAAGAAAGATGCCAGCAGTGTATAGAGCAGGCTACATGTCACGAAGGAATGGTCCAGAAGGAATGGATGTGTGATTTGGTAACTGTTGAAGGAAATATTGGAATGATAAAAAAGAAGCTAATAAAGTTTACGGAGAGGGTCTTGGGGCACATGGACAAGGCTTTCCTTTCAGTATTGTTTTTTTTAATCATAAAACTGTTACTTGATTTAAGGGAAAAAACTGATCTGAAGAGGTCTCTAGAAGAAGATGTCTCTGAAGTGCACAGGCACCTCACTGCATCTTATAGGGGTCCTGGAGCCGCCTGATTCCAGGAAAGGCAGCAGCCAGGGCAGCCAACAGAAGGAAGCCAGCCATGGCTACAGAAGGGATGCTGGAGAAGCAGCACTGAGAGCTGTTCACGGAGTTGTTGTTCAGAGAAGCCAAAGACAGGGTCGGGCTTGGTTTGAAGGATCCCGGGGATGTGATGACTGGGCACTTGATCAGCACTGAGGGCCCGGGAGAGGTTTCAGCAGGGACATCTGAGGGAACTGGCATATAGGCTGCAGGTAGGTAAGGTGAAGCCCCTGAGGAGAGCACTAAGGGGTCTAACAGCAGTAGGCTCTGGATGCTAGGAGTAAGTGCTTTAGTTTTCTGATTTATGCTAATATTGAATAGTCTACCATATATGTATGTATGCACATATGTATTCTGCAATACCATTAAGCTGCAACTGGAATAAATTAAAATGTATAAACTGCCTAAAACCTATCAACAACTCCTCATGCACTTAAAACTCCAAAGCCCTGAGACCTTTATGTGACTTCTGACCTGCTGTCCTGTCTTCACCTTCTCTCACCACATCGTCCTCTCTGCTCATGCGCCTTGCCTGTGCACTTGCACGTCCCTCTGCCAAATTGCTCTTCCTCAGATTTCTGGGTTCCCATTATGCAGCCCACAGAATACATGTAAAATCTTCAGGGTACATTTGTCTAGCCACCTCACCCTTTGCTTCTCTGTATGGCAGTGATCATAATGGGACTCCTACTTTAATTTTTAATTCTTTTACTTTAACTCTCTTAAATTTATTTCAGTGTTCTTTCACTAAGATATAAACTCCTTAGCCAGAGGCCCTGGATTTTTTTTTTTTTTTTTGCTACTGGGTCCCAAGTGCCTGGGACAGTGCTTGGTGCATGATAAGGAGCTCCAATGAGTGTTAGTTGAATAAATAAATGAATGATCTCAACCCTCTTCTTGTAATACAGGTGCTGTTAGAGTCTACATTTAACAAGGAAGCTGAGGTTGAGAGAGGCAAGGCGACTTGTAAGGACACACAGGCCGCCTGGCCCATGTCCCTACCTTTGCACCACTATGAATTATTCCCCTCCCACTTTCCTCCTCATCAACCTCTCTTTCCTCTCCTTCCCAACCTTCATCTAGACTGGGTGGGACAATCATCATTTTCCCATCATGCCAAGTCAGGTGACTCTAGATCTAACATGTGTTGGTCAGGACTTGCTGAGGGTGTGCAAGACACAAAGGGCTCTGGGCTATAAATGCCAATGCGGATGCAGGACCTCACATCCCTGACCCTGGCTCTGCTCACCTCAGACCAGCAGCAGCAGGTGCACATGGAGACACCTTCAGGGTGTCTTAATAGACAAAGCTTTTAACCAGGATGGTTAAAAGACAAAGCTGTGACCAATATATATAAGTGTGTGTGTGTGTGTGTGTGTGTGTGTGTGTGTGTGTGTGTGTGTGTGTGTGCATGTATATGAAGTGGCAGGAGTAGAAGTTGTTTTTTTTTTTTTTACCAAGCTCTTTGATGCACCTTAAATTATACTCATGAAAATGGGTATTATCAGGAAAGCTTCCAACAATGTGCCATAGCAAACCAAATAGCAGTGACTTCAACTGTTCAGGATTGGCATTCCTTACATTGCAAGCAGAGTAGAAAGGCAGACAACTTCTGCATTGTTTTGGTTCCTGACTGTGCTGTTAAGAACTCAGGCACTTTCTGTCTGTATTCTCCTTAGCATCTTCACCTGAAGCCTTCATGTCCAGCAGTTCACAAGGCAGTGACTGTCGCTCCAGGCATTACATTTGGCAACCAAAGTGAGGGAGGAAGTAGAGGCATCTGTCTCGTTAATCCTTTTAATCAGGAAAGTCAGAGATGGTTAAGGAAGTCCCAGGAAGCATCCTCTTTGTAGCTCATTGGCAGAACGAGATCAGGAGATGACCTTCAACTTGACATCCTCCAAGGGGTATCAAAAAGAGAAGTTGGCACTGAGTTCTGAGTTAGGCAGCCATGGTTTGATTGCTTAAGAAGAAGCTGAGGGTTTGCTGTTATTCAGCCTTTCATTTGTTTCTTTTTTTTAATTTTATTTTTGATGATGTTTACATAGTTGATTTTGGGGGGAAGGGTCGAGTGCTTGAGGAAAGTGGGTGAGACCATTGCTTCCACATTTTCCTTTGTATTTTTATATCTGGGGCAAGTGGGGAATAAGGGGAGAAGCCTCACCTAGCTTCCCAACTGCCTCCATATCTTGGGATGGCCACCTGATGTCATCCCAGGTATGCTCTCAGAGTTCCGCTCAAGTGGTTTTGATAGTTCAATAGTTCTGAATTGCTGTCGATCTTGCTTCTCCAAGCACAATGAACTCTCTCCAGAATCCACTGGCTGACATAGTCCATCTTAGGTTCTCCATTTGCCCAGATATTCACAACCAACACTTGGCTGGGGAAATTGATCAATTTGTTCTGCCCTCCTTCCTCTGTCATAGAGCCAGATGTCCTCTGCAGGCTGCAATGGACTGCCATATCTTCCATGTGCAACTGGATATTGCTGTCCATTGCTCTAAGTCTCTGAGGAAGGTCCAGTTCTGACATATACACTCCCTGGTCACACCATGGAAACTTAAATTCTCTCAATGGTTGGAGTTATGAGTCCAATGGTTCACTTGGGTAGATCCCCAAAGAAACCTCATCTGAGGTGACCCCAGACCTGATTCCTGTATGTACTTGCCAATACAGGGTCTGGCTCAGTGCATCACCCACATCAGCCTATGCACACACCGGTGGTTGCAATTGCTGGGTCAGCTCTACCTCCAGCCCCATCTCATACGCAAACCAATGGGTGTTGCAGCCCAGCCTGACCCTACCCACCACACACTAGGCTTCATATGCACCGGTGGGAGCTGCAGCCTAGTTGGAACGACACCCAATAGCCCCACCAGGCCTACCCCTTGCCCTTGTTCCTGTGCTTGCCAGTATGTACAGCAGACTGGTCCAGCCTGTCTCACATCCCATTCAGCTCTTGTACACGTCAATGGGCATTAAAGCCTAGTTCAACCCAATCGGCCCCACTATCCAGCCCACACTCACACTATTGGGTGCCACCACCTATCTAGTCAGGCCTACCCCCAGTCTCATGCTCACTGGTGGAAATGGCAACCTAAGAGAGAGATGTCCACTAATTTCCTAATGAGACCACTCCAACTCCCAAATCTTGGACTCTCCAGGTGGTTCGGCAGTTTAGCTCAACAACATTTTCCCCCAGTCCCAGCACCTGCCATGGCAGGTGATGCTATGGCAAAACCCAACCAACCCACACCTACTCTGGCCCATGCATGCACTAACGGGTATAGTCGGTTAGCTCAGCCTTGTTTTCTCCCTAACCCAGCTCACATGCTGGCCACCAGGTGTTGTAGCCCTGTCTGGCCTGATCTTGTTCCCATCCCAGCTCTCACACTCACCAGTGGGAGTAGTGGCCTGGCACGGGAACCCTCTGCAGCCTCCCTTCTGTGCTCATGCTCCACCCCTCCAGGTCACACATGTGCTACAGCCCAGTCTGGCATGTCCTGCTTCACCTCAACATTTGCTGATGGGTTCTGTAGCCTGACCTGGCCTGGCCTGGTCCACCCCAAGTTCCAGCTTATGCTGGTGGGGGCTACAGCTGAGACTAGCCCAGCCAGCCACCAGTCCTGGCCTTAATATGAACTGGCTGATGTTGTGGCCTGACCTGGCTTGTCCCTCACTCCATTCTGGTTCTTATATTTGCCAGCAGATGATATGAACTGGCCCAGCCTGACTTGCCCCCAGATCTGATACATATGTATACTGGTGGATATTGTAACTGGGCCTGGTCTGGGTTGCTTAAGACCAAGCTACTCTTTGCCTTAGTTCCTGCATTCACCTGCAGGGATTGCATCCTGACAGAGGTTTTCCCCAAACTGCTCCATCAGAACGTCTTCCATTGCCAGATCTCATGCACACCAGTGGGTCTATGGTCCAGTCCTACCTAGTCCACCTCCTGTCCTAGCAGGAACAGTGGCCTTTCCTGACCAGCCCTCATCCATTCTGGTTCTTGCTGTTGAGTGTACAGCCCAGCCAAGTCTGATCCACATCCAGACACAGCTCATCCATGACTTGGCAGGGGCAGAGACCTAGCCCAGACCGTCCTACACCTAGCCTGGTTCTCACAAGCCTCACTAAGTGCTAGAGTCTAGTCCAATCTGACACACCCAGACCCAGTTCACACCCACGCCAAGGGACATTGCAGGCATGTCCAGACCAGATTGCAGCTCCCATTCTGGTCCTTGCACTCACCAATGGGAGCCACTACCCAGTTGAGGTGTCCTCTTAACTCTCCAACCAGTCCTGTTCCCAGCTATAGATCTTGTGCATGCCAGTGGTTGCTCTGACCCAGATGGGCATAGCCCCTCACCTGTCTTGGCCTTTGCCTTCAGATGCTGCAGCCTGGCCTGACTTGGCCAGCCCCCAGTCCCAACTCTAGCCTGGCCCTGCTCAGTCTGCTCCCATTCTTGGCTCAGGCAAAATGGTAGGTGTGATAGCCTAGCTCAGTGTGACTTGTACTTCAACCTGGTTTCTGCACATGCCAGTGGACTAAGGTTTGTTTGGCCCTGCCCAATCCACCCCCTTCCAAAACCAACCCACACTCTTGCTGATGGTTAGAGCTACTTTTCCTGGCCTGACTAACACCCAGGCCTGAACCACTTGCTCACCAGTGGGAGCTATGGCTTACCAGGGAGTTTCCCAAGTTCTGCCACCATGCTCATTCCCAGACCCAGATTTCACATATGCCATTGGGTACTAGGCCCCTCCCCATCATAGCCTGTCTTCTCCATTCCGCCCTTTGTATGAGCTGGTGGATGTTGCAGCCTGGGCCACTCTACACCCTGCTTCAAGGGGTGCCTGTAGGTACTGTAGCCTGGACCTCCTCAGTCTATCCACAGCCCTAGTACCCTTGAGTGTTGGCAGGTTCCATGGTCATGCCTAGCTCGGCCTATCTTTATCCCTCAACTCTTAAGCTAACAAGCAGGACTTGTGGTTCCACAGGGTTAGGCCCACATATCCTCCACAGACTCTACCCCTGGACCTGGTTCTCTCACATGCTGGTTAGTGTCATGGCATAGATTAACATTACCTGTCCCCTATTCTGACACTCATTGGTGGGTACTGTGATCTAGCCTTGCTAAACAGGCTCCCAACCCTAGCTTTTGTGAAGGCTGGTGTGTGATGGTCAGCTTGGTCCATGCTAACTAGCCCAGCTGAGATTTCCTACATGGGCTAGTGCATCAGTCTGACCCACAATGGTCCTCCGGCCTCTCCCCTCCAAACTGCTAGGTCTCAGTCCCCTTGCTTACCTGCAAGTACAGTGGCCTTGTTGTTGGGAATCCCTCAGTCATTCCTCACCTGCAACACATTCCCACAGCAGTCTTCCTTCTCCCATATAATCTTACCTCTTTCCCTAGTAAATCCAAAGTCTGTGTGCCCAGGAGCATGTGAGTTCTCCAGTCCAGCCTTCAGAAGCCCATTGAGTGGTGTGCTGTCCTGGAGCTTGGCCCACCCACCAGAGTCCCAAACTCCTGGTCCATGTGCTGGTCTGGTGCCTTACCCTTCCACACACCTAGGATCCAGGCCCATTGAGGCTCTCCAGGCCTGGTCTCCCAGCACACCAAGCCAACATGCTGACCTGAGGCTCTCCCTTCACCTCGCCTCACATTACCTGGGACCAAGCACACTGGGAAATCACCAAGTTTGTTCCACCTGCCTAGACATGAGCTCCCAGTCCCCACATGCCCCGCAGGCACTATGCCCCTAGCTTGTCCCCGCAACAAGCCCACATCCTCAGGTCCCCAGGAACCAGCACTCTGGTCGCTGCCCCCCAGGTAGGTTCGGTGCCAACCCACCACCCCTGCCCATTTGTTTCATTAGTTATGTATTAGATGGTGATGCTTCTTGCTTCCCTCACATCACCGACCTGATTCCAATGCACTGTCAGCCTGTTGGCCTAGTGGATAGCACACCTCTTTCCCCACTTGAACTTGGGATGACTGCTATTTTTCACTCTTCACTCTTCCCAACCTCTTCCCACTCCAAAGATTCAGAAATTAAGTATGCTTCTCTTCATTTTTGAAAAAAAAATGTAGCCTGAGAGGAAAATGCTGACATGAGACTGTGTTTTGACTTTCCCTCCCTCTCTCTTCCTTGCCAGGTGTCTTCCTGTTCTTTTTGGGAATGGGCATCAACATTCACAGTGATTATATATTGCGCCAGCTCAGGAAGCCTGGAGAACTTACTTACAAGATTCCACAAGGTAATCCTCCCCTGGGCCTTGGAGTCCCACTTTTCCTTTGAGCTTGTCCCAGCAGGGATATTCTGGGGGGAGGAACAGGCAGAAAACAAGCAAGTCTGTACATACCCACCTGCTTTTGACTTTTCTTTTGTGCACTGTCCCACCCACAGCTCCTCTGCATTTCTAGTGGGAATCCAGAAGTTCAGGAGAGCACTCAGAACCCCCTAGAAGGAAAGAGCACACTACCCTGAAGGTAGACCGAGGGTGTGAGGTGTGGGTAGCCTGTGGATAGATAGCTATCTGGTAGACAGGACCATCACATACACAGAGTAGCAATTCTAGGCTAGCAGCAAAATCCTTCACAGCCAACATGGTTGTCCTCTTGCTCAATTGGTCTAGACTTACCTAGGGATTACTAGGGACAGTACTTGGATACTTCCTTTTAATAAACATGGAAATATATAACATCATGTTTATCCAATCAGAAGTTAGCATGGGAGGCCTTAGATGTGTAAGTGTAGTAACACACAACAGACCATTCTGGCAAATGTATCCTTAAATGATCTCATTGTTTTGCTAGCCACATGGAATGTACCTACACAGACCTACATGGCACAGCTTGTTAAGCACCTAGGCTGTATGACGCAACCTGTGTCAAATATCTTATTTTTTCCCCTTTTGCTTTCACGTTCAGAAAGAAGGCACAAACCTGCACATTAGCCTAGGTCTATACAGGGTCATAATTTCTACTTCCCTGTTTCATCATGCTGGAACTCTTTATTGGTTATAATGCGTAAGAAACAGTCATCTCTGATCCCAGTGATTTCTTCTGGACACCTAACGGCAGAACAGCTTGAAGCAGTTAACTTTTTTTTTTTTTTTTGACAAATAAAGGTTTACTCCAGAATAATAGTAGTAAAAGTACAGTATAGTGACTGTATACGCCAGTATTATAGTTATTATTGTTACAAAGTGCTATATACTCTGTATAATTGTGTGAGCTCTACTGTTCTGTGGCTGACAGTAAAGTCAGTGTGTTAACGACAGCATCAACACCTGAGGAATGCATTGGGCGATGTTGTACTGACTGTAATGTCACTAGGCAATAGGAATGTTTTTCACATCCATTATAATCCTGTGGTACCACCACTGGTTGACTGAAACATTGTCATGTGCATGATTACAGACTTTCGGACATAAACAAACAAAATATTTGAAATCCTGATCGTTCCCCAGGAGCAAGGGAATGAGGTTGACCAATAGAAGCAGGTGAAAGTGACTCAGTCCAAGTAATCATTTAGTATATCTAGGTGGATATATGCATAGATCAATAGTTGCTACCCTTTTGATATAAATATAGCCCTTTGTTCATAGTAAAAAAACATTCTGAACTATGATATGTTAGTGCAGATTGATATTCATTAAGAAAACAATGGCAAGACGAGTATCAATTCAGTAACATGTTTAAATGAATTCAAACATTGTTGATATTCTCTGAGTATCTGCCTCAAGCAAAATGAATGCAGTAGATTGAAATATTCTGTTTACTGGGTTCATCGGTGATTCCCAGATCCTTTCCTGTGGATCAGTGGTTCCTTCCAGGCTGTAGGAACTCTGAGGCCAGAACCACTTATTCAGTGTCATCCTCGAGAACGTAAAGTTAAGCATCTTTGACTTCAGAACTTTTTGGTAACCAAAGAAGAGCAGAGAGAGCTCTTATAAACCAGGTTGCCGAGGTTAGTTTCCAACTTCTGAGTTATGATGGAAGATGATTTACAAAATACTTTTATGTAACTATAGAGAAAAAATGATTTTGGTTAGAACTTCTCCATTTTATTATGGATCATAAAAGTTGACTTTGGATATATTTAATAGCGTTAGAAATGTGCTGATTTCTAGATACAGTTCTGACAGTGGAAATAGTCTGGTTGGAATGAAAAACAGAAGTTCAAAACAGCAGAAGCTAACCTGGCTAGCCTGCTGTAAGACACATACCAATTGGGGACCCCTAGGAGAACTATGGGACTCCTATTTATTACTTTAAATTTCCACAGACTGTGTATAAATATGTTTAAATGTGTGTGTGTGTGTGTGTGTGAGTGTATGGTGGGAGCAAATGCCAAAAGAGAATTTAATTATTTCTCGTATCAACTGCATTTTGCCTTATTTTTGCATGGTGTGTTGATTTGCTTTGTGTGGCTGTGAATGCGATATATGCTGACCAGCAGTGCCTGCTGTCCCAAAGATGTTCCTTCCTAGAGGAAAGCAAAACCCAGACCTCCTGCCCTGCTAACTTGTCTGCCCAAAGCTAGTGTTGCAGTGATTGCTGGGGATTTGGACGGAGCCCACCAAGCAGCCGGGGCTGCCACTCACAAGTCCAGAATGTTCTACGGGCACCCAGCTGCAGTTTTTTTGTTTCTCTTTCTCTCCAAGAAGATTCCACTGAATGCCAGTGACTGTTGAAGGAGTATGAAGGCCTACCTCTGTTCTAACTGTGTTTGTGTGCTTTGGAACAAGATGGAGGCATTTGGTGTCATGATGAATCAGTTGCAACTGTTGACTGTTTGGTTCTTCTGCACACAGGTGGCTTGTTTACGTACGTATCTGGAGCCAACTTCCTGGGTGAGATCATTGAATGGATCGGCTTTGCCCTGGCCACTTGGTCCCTCCCAGCATTAGCATTTGCGTTTTTCTCGCTGTGTTTCCTTGGGCTGCGTGCTTTTCACCACCATAGGTAAAGCTCTTCAACAGTGGTGACAAAGTTCATGTAACTTTCTTCCCCAGACAGGTTTGGCATCTAGAGTCCAGGTTAGAAAGCTAGGAGTTTTATTTTTATAAAGAAAGGTAGATAGAATAGTCTGGATTGGTAAATTCTGATCATGGCTTTTCTTAAAGTTGAAATTTAACTGGATGACAGCAGCAGGAACCACTTTTTCCCCCCCTGAGACGAACAGGCTGGCCCAGGTAGACCTGCGACCTTTGCTGAAGGAGGGTTGGCAGAGGAGTGCCTGGTGTTGTGCATGTGGGTTGAGATTCCTTGCTGCCTTGCTTGGCTATCATCGCTGATCAGCAATGAGCAGCAGATTAGGCATGAAGAAGCAAAATAAAATAAAATTTCTGTTTTATTGCTTGTTCAGTTCACTTCCACCATGTTTTTTTGAAGTGGGCACCATGGGTGGGACTGTGACCAGCTCTTCCCAAAGCCTCACAGAACATTCTAGGGCATAGGCAGGACATAGTACCCTGGGGGAAGCATTAGCTCTGATGCCCTTATGTCTGTGGTCATTGGCTGTTAGTTTTTTTTTTTAAAGATTTATTTATTTACTTTTATTGGAAAACAAAATCTACAGAGAGGAGGAGAGAAAGAGAGAAAGATCTTCCATCTGCTGGCTCACTCACCAAATGGCTGCAATAACCAGAGCTAAGCTGATCCGAAGCCAGGAGCTTCTTCTGGGTCTCGCACATGGGTACAGAAACCCAAGGCTTTGGGCCATCTGCAAGCAGGGAGCTGGATGGGAAGTGGATCAGCTGGGATATGAACAAGCACCCATATAACATGATAGTGTATGCAAGGTGAGGACTTTACCACTGTGCTAACTGTGCTGGGCCTGGCTGCTAGTTTTAATTCAAGGTTTTGTGCTAGCAGTTCAGGTCATCACAAACCTCCTGGAAACTCCAGGAGGATAATTTTCCCTGGAAGACCAAGGGGTTACGTCTGTTCCTCCCTTCCTATCTCACATCCCACTCTCAATAACTCAAAATAACTCATCATAGTCAAAGTCGTGAAGGGATGCGATTTTCGAACAGCTCCATCTGCTGGGAAGTGCTGGGATTGCGGGTGTTTAGAACCTTTTAAAGTTGCACCTACCTCAGTAACTTTGGGGAACCAGAATAAACTGGAAACATTCCTGGAATTCCAGTGATAGCATAGTAAGTCATTGTCAGGCCTCAGACATGAGCATGAACTTGAGCTCCTTTCTGAAAATTACTTTATGTGAAAGGTGGAAGCCTGTTATGATAGGAGACAGACAAGGAGGGGAGTGGGTACTCCAGTGGGCATGGACTTGGAACTGGGACTAAGAGGGATCCCCTTAAACTCTTCTTTGGCGGCGCAGTCTGGGTAGTGACTCACTTCCTGGTGCTGAAGGTTAAGTCGAGAACGGGCCCCTACTCCTGAGAGAAAATTGATTTGAAGATCGGTGAAAGCATGAATGCAACACCAGCCTTCCTCATGGCCGCTTCCTGCCCTCTGGTAGACCGAGGACGGGCACGTGGTGCAGGGGGCTCCTCCCATGAGCAGTGAGTGTCGCTGTTCTCCCATCCCAGCCAGGTCTGGTGCCTCCTGGGGGCGCAGAGAAGGGAGAAGGAAAGGAGAGGGCGGTCAGACCAGGGACAGAGGTGCCGCCGGACGTCTCCAGGTGGTTAACCAGCATGATCCAAACTGAGTGCGTGACCTTCCATGTCAGATTGCCCCAACAGAGAGTTCTAGCGCTCACAGGGATCTGGGCAGGTGCTTGTCAAGCAAGGCCAGGCCGTGGCCAGAGACAGGGCAGGCGGCGGGGGGCTCAGTGATCTTGTCCACTGCAACACCCACGCCACCCATTGGAAAGGTTATTGGTCTCCCAACTCACGCTAACGTGCTTTGGCCAAGTGTCTCGTCTTGATCATGCCTTGAGAACTACCAACATTAGCTAGTGCACAGACTCCCTATGGGGATGCCATGGCCAGAGATTCCAACGTGAGTGGCTTCAAACCCCAGAAACTTTATTCTGTGACAGTTTGGGAGGTTAGAGGTTCAAAATCAAGGTATGGATGGGGCTGTGCTCTCTGGGCTGGCTTGAGGGGAGATTGCTGCTACAGTGTCATCTCAGCCTATGTCTGCACGTGGCCTCTGCTCTGGAGGGGGTAGGGAAGGGGGAGGGGGGAGGTTGGAAGGGAGGGCTCTGTCTCCACGTCTGTTTTCTGCTTCTTTAAAGCATACCAGTCCTGTAGGTTTCAGAGCCCTCCCTGCCCTGCTGTGACCTTGTCTTCATTATATTAACAGTGATACCTGTTCTAGAATAAGGTCTCACTTTAGGCCCCTGGAGGTTCAGGTTTCAGTATATTTTTTGGAGGGGGCACATGACTCAACCCATAATGCAAGTGTATGCTCTTGTGACATTCCCGGACCTCCTGTCAGGGTATTTTCCTGGGAACATTGCCAGTTCTCTGGGCTTAAATTTGTTCATGTTCCTTGTGGTCTCTGGTATCCTGTATGTATCAGTGGAAACCACATGGTACTTCTTTCCACCTGTTTCATTTTCTTTTAGTCCCAATGAACTATACGTAAGTTTAAGCCTACCATTTTCAAGTGTAAAATTCAGTGGCATTCAGTATAGTCATCATGTGGTACAGACATCATCACTCTGTCCACTTCCCAGGGGGAAAAGCATCAGTGTTGACACGAGACAGACCATAATAAGAAGAAATAAGGTAATGCCAATGACTGTCTAGAGCAGCCAGATTCTAAGATGCTTGCAGATTGGCTTGTAACGAGATTTCAGACACAGCAGAGCTCAACGCTTGATCACTTTGTAATTATTCCTTTCTTGTTTCTTAGGTTCTACCTCAAAATGTTTAAGGACTACCCCAAATCTCGGAAAGCCCTTATTCCATTCATCTTTTAAAGAATGTGATCATTATGATGAATAATAATAAGGAGCAAAGCTCCTACACGCCAATGAAAACAATGAAGCTGCTGAACTTCACCACATGTGTTCCTAATAGTAGGTCTCCTGGGGATTGTGACTGGGGTTGGCACAGAGCGTCTTGTACCTTTCCCCAGAGCTCTGTCCTGGTCTCCTGTTGGAGCTACGGAAAGCGCCTTTGTCCCATGGACACTTTTCCTTTCTTAGCAACTTCTCCTGGAAAGTGCAAGATTCTCCTGGAATCTTTGGGTGGGTGATGCAGGTGTATGGCCCTGACATGGTCTCTGTGTCTGTGTGGAGTAACTGGGCAGTCAGAAATGGTTTGGGTGGAAGCCAGTGCTCAATGAAGCGACGCGTTTTGTGTGCCTTCCTGGAAGAGTGGAGCTGTACATTCTGAAACCACACAGCCCTAGAACAAACTTCCTCCCACATGAAGACCTAGTCATCTCTTCCTTTCCCTTAATTTGGAAGACTATGAAATTACCAGGCAAACCTTGGATGAAAGGGCCCTCTCCTTGGATTGCCGAAAGCATACTCATGTGCTGACTCCATTGCAGATCTGTGCATTGCTTCTGTTGTTGAGAGATTTCTCAATCCCTATTACAGTCTATCCCAGAACATTGGAATGGGTGCTTTCTCAGAGTCAGGCTGCTTAGGAGCCAAAGGAAAAAAAATGTTACCTTGAATGGCTACTGAGAGAGTCAAGAAGTGTTGCAACCACAAAGGTTGCAAACCTGGGTGTTGGGACACTAACGGGACCGTGCTGAATAAGGAGACTCTGGAGTGAGAAAGTGACGTTGTACTGTCTCCCAGGATGTGAAGTGTCTCAGAGGTGCTCAAGATCTTCCCTCTTCTGGATATTTTTTATCGCAAGCCATGTGACCTGTCCAAGATGGTGTGTGTGACCTGGAGACATGGGCACACCAGCCATCCCAGGGCCCATGACCAGGTGCTGGGTTAAGCAGAGAACTGCTAAGAGGCAGCGTCAGTATTATTGGTCTCAGGATTTCTCGTCTGTCTGTGTCTCATACACACACACACACACACATCAAGCTATTTAAAAATGGGGAGTGTTCTGCTTAAAGCTCTGGTATTCTGGATTCCATAAGTAGCTGGAGATTGCAGCTAGCCAGCCCCTGCATTTCCACAAAAAAGACAGAGCTGGTTGTCTGAGTCTGCCCTGCTTTGGGAAGGGATCAGCTGGCATGACTGCCACCGTGTCCGGCTCTCTGTGGAAGGGGCGGCGCACTCACAGGTAGTATCCTTGCAAGTACTTGTCTCCTGGGTTTCTGGTAAGCGCTGGCAGTAGTTAGCAAACATCGGCTCACAGCGGGAGATGCTCTGGAAGACTTGGAAGGTCGAAGATGGCGTGGATGGCTGAAAGCAGAGACTAATCATCTCAATACACGTTTATGCTATTCACGAGATCTCTCTTGAGTCATGGAGGCTGAGTAATTTGCTTTGAATTAAAAGATCCTGGGGCTTCTAGAGACATTCACACTGGAACAAAATGTGTTCTTTTCTCGATTCCCTTCTGTCGTTTTGCTTTGCTTTGTTTTATAAATTTCCTTTTTTCCCCCCAACTTGAGATAAGGAGCTGTGGGCTGAAAGGTGAAGATGCCTGGCTTTTACAGCCCCTCAGCACAGCTCAGTATCCCAGGGAAGTGCTAGGAGGGTCTGGGAAGCTGTTCATGGCATCCTATTCGTGAGGCTGGCTCTCCTCCTGGTATGCAGGAAAATAGGGGAGAAGACCCACTCGGTGAGATATATTTTCTGTATAACTTGGGCTCTGTGGTACACAAAAAGTCTCGTTCTTTGCATGGCATTAGAAACTGCCTTTTGCTAATAATCTCTTCTCTGATTATCCTGTAAAACGGCCACTGAAATGTAGCAAGAGTTCAATTCACAGGAGCTGTGCCTGCAGTCTCAGGATGGAACGGTTATTTGGCAATTGTGTGTTTGTGCCACAAGAGGGCGCTGCATAGTTTTTTTTTTTTTTTTTTTAAACCAGTCCGTCTGGAGCCTTACATAGTAAGGAAAAAACAAAACTGAAAAACAGAAAGCCAACCTTATTGCCACTTGAAGTTAGCACGATCAAAGGCCTTGTTAAAGACAGTGTAGGCTGAACCTCATGGAATCTGAAATCTTTCCTTGGTGATCAAACTATTCTCAATTCTCTAGGGCTGTTTTTAGCCCTGTGGATGTGTATATGGGCTCAATATAATAAAGTTCTGAATGCATGAACCTCTAAATATATTTGTCCCCATTTATCCTAAAAGAGTGTGAGAAAAATAAGGTTAACTCCGATTTCCATGGAGTGGTTTTTAGTTAAAATACTGTTCCAGTGTCTCAGCTTGATGAAGCTTTCACTGAGGGTGTGTTTTCCTGTTGACTTTGTGGAAGATAACATTTCAGACTATAGGGTGAAAAAACCAATGTAGACCTAAAACATTGGCTAGTCCCACCTCTTCCTCTTGCAGGCGGAGACCCAGAAGCCCACCAGGTTAGCACGCTTCCCCACAATACAGAGCCCCAAGAAGCACCATTCTCATCGTGTCCCTGGGGAGCCAGACCTCTGTTCACCTTGAGGCATGGCCAGCTTTGATGAGAGACCCAACAGAGCCCGCCTCGATGGCTCTGAACACACATGCCAGCCGTGTGCTGCAGGTCTGCAGTGCGTCTGTCTGCTGTGCGGACAGTCCTGGTGGGCGGGAGGATGTCGCTGAATGACGTGATGCTCACCCTTGGGGAGCTGCTGTGTGGTGAGTTCTGCAGAATTCACACAGGAGAAAAGCAGCCAGCGCTTCGGGGCTGGGCCTCTGTTCACCCTTGCACTGTGTGTGTTGGCTGGCAGGCGTCCCTCCCTCTGTGAGTGAGCCTGGCAGGTGCCCTGGACATACACTGACTTGACAAGCTCAGGGCTGGGGCGTGGGGTTTCCCCTCTTTGCTGGAGCAGCGATCACATGTGTTCAGCATGCAGTAAGTCCCAAATCACAGCTCCTGTCCCCAGCTCTTCCCTCCCTAAGGAGCAACATGGCTCTACTGTGTTGCAAAAAGGGGGAAAGAACCATGGCAATGAGAAATCATTTCAACAGTGATTGAGTTGGCCTGAATCCTTCCAGGAATAAATGAGTACACATGGCTTTACCATGCTGAGGTTCTATAGCTGTTTTATAACTTCACGATGAACTTCTGTGCAGCAGGTGGGCAAGCTCTTGGCATAGGAAGGAATGGCCTTATGAAGGGCTGTTTCCTTCCTGTCTGGTTCTCTACTCAGCTGTGGGCTAAGGACCAGGCATGGAGCATAAATGCAGCAGCACGAAATGGAGAGCAAATCCTCCGACAGAGGCTGCAGGTGGTTTTATAACATCAACACCATTCCATGATGATGGAAAGTGGTGTGGAGCCAGAGGGAAGTGACTGCTTGGATGCTGCCACAGCACATGGAGTGGAGTGTACATGGGGATCTGTGTACTGGTGTGGGAAGGCCACAGAGTTATGATCTTAGCAGGTTCTATACTGTTAGCATCGTGTTTCCCTCCTTTCTGCCAACCTTGGTTTGATATGTTTGAACTGAGATAAATCACTGGGGGAAGTTCCACCCCAGGCTGTGCTGTCTTACTTTAGTGAAATCCTCTTCCAGCTTAGAGCAGTTGGAGTCCAGCTGAGGGAGATTCAGGGTCCCTTCCCAAATGGCATATTGGTTGGGAGGAGAGGAGAGGAAAGGGAAGGCAGAAGAAGGAGGAGAATAGTGTGGGAGGGACGGGAGACCAAGACCTTGGTCAAGGGAGCTCCCTCTTCCCCCTCTGTGTGTGTAGACTACAGGAGCCTGATCCATTCCTAACCCTTCCAGGAATGCAATTCCTCCGAGAAACAAGAAGCTCTTCTTAAAGAGGATGCTCTCTTTAAAGTACACCCCATAGGTCTGTGTCTCAAGATACTAATTTCATTGTATTTCTGTTGGCTTGTTATGAAAACCTGGATTTAGGTCTGTGTAGCCAATGGTTGTGGGAGGTGTGTGTGAGGCCAGGGGTCGCTGGGAGGGCAAGGGCAGAGCGAGCACCCCAGGGCTCCTTGAGTGGCCTTGGTGTTCCCATTTACCCCCAGGAGGAAGGGCTCCTTCCTAATGGGTGGGGTGGGGGCATTTATTTGTGTTCACTGGAAAATAAATTCCACAGTATCATCAATTTGTTAACCCCTTGGTTGAGGTTTTCTCTGTCACCATTGCCTTTTAGGTGCTCGTTCATTAGGAAATGTCCTTTGTGCTGGTTTGTAACAGAGCTGGTTATTGTCAGAGACATGAAGTGTGAGTAATAAGTGTGAGTAATAAGGACAGAGAAAAATTAAGTATAAAAAGTCTGGTGGACCATCATGAGTGAGGGTCCTCCAAAAAGTGGGTGGAGGAGTGGGCATTGGGGCAGTGGTGAGACACCCCTTGGGACCCTCACATTCCATATCAGAGTGACCGATCCACCCCAGCCCCACTCCGCATGTGGCCGAAACAGCCAGAGCTGAGCCGATCCAAAGCCAGGAGCCAAGAACCTCCTCCAGGTCTCCCACGCAGGTGCAGGGTCCCAACGCTTTGGACTATCCTCTACTGCTTTCCCCAGCCACAAGCAGGGAGCCAGAAGGGAAGTGGGGCAGCCAGAACTCAAACTGGTGCCTACACGGGATGCCAGCACGTTAAGGCAAGAACCTTAGCTACTCGGCCGCTGCACTAGGACTTCTCTGCTCTGATTTTTAATCTGTTTCTCTGTATTTGTTATTTCCCCTCCCTTCCTGTGTTGGTCTTCAAGACACTCTCTTTGCTTTCAATTATTACATTATAATATTTGTAGATAGGTTCTTATTTGTATTTGTTTCGCGTGGTGTTTTCTGAACTTCTTGGGTTTGTGGTATATGGCCTTTTGCTAATTGCCAAAATCTGAACTATATTTCTTATGCCTGACAATTACGTGGGAAACTTGCGTTCTGCATGTTTTTGAGGTAGATCTGCTATTACATGCACGATTATAATTTTAACAGAGTAGTATTTTATCAGACAGATACATGACATCATGTTATTTATTCACTAGTTGATAGCAATTTGGGTTGCTTATTGATGTTGGTTGCTGTAGATAAAGCTAGTGCCAATATTTGTTTAAAAGGAAAGGAGTAGTGGAGTAATAAATTCTGAAAATAAACAAAAGTGCGATAGGCTCACAGTACTCAACATCAGTTTTTTGAGTCAAAACATAAGTGAACCTCAAGAAAAACTGATTGTGGTGGGAAAAAGACACGCATGTGTGTTCTGTATAAAAAGAGACAGAAGCAGAAAAACAATATGACGAATAACAAGAGAAACCTTTAGCTCATGAATATCCTAATTTATTTTTTACAAAAAAACAATAAAGTGAAAGAAAGAAGGCTGAGCAGGTGGAGGACCACAGTAAGCCTGGGAGGAGGTGCACGGGGGACAGTGAGGCTTGAAGTGATGAATAATGTGACCGTGTTTTTAGTGGCAAGAACCCACATGCTAGTCATGGCCCATATTAGAAGGAACTGATATTAAAAAGGTCTGCTTCTAAAAGATGGCATAGCCAGAAAGAAAAATTCTTTTAAAAAAATGTTTCTTTTCATCTACTTGAAAGCAGAGTAACACAGAGTGAGTGCAAAAGAAAGCAAAGGGGACAGAGGAGGAAAGGAGAGAGAGAGAGAGAGAGAGAGAGAGAGAGAGAGAGAGAGAATGAACATATGCTTTTATCCCTGGTTCACTCTTGAAATGCAAGCAGCCAAGCTGTGTGTCCTGCACATGGGATTGTATTTGTTTAAATGATGTCAGAAATGGCAGTTCTTTTGAGGGGGAGAGATAGGCTCTTCAAAATAATTTTCTGGCATGATCTACTAATTAGGCATTTGGGAAAATTTTGGATACTCAACTAATTTCATATGAAAGCTGAGTTATATAAAGTTTACTATCCTACACCTGTGAAAGATTTTCTAGAATTATAGAATATATTTATTTTAGATAAGAATTTCTTTATCACAATTACTACACTCCTCCTCCTGCAAAAAGAATGATACACAAAGCAAGTAACTCATACGACTGTCTTTTTTTTTTTAAGTCTTTTGTAGAAAAAAAAAAGATACCATAGAAAGGTAAAGGTGAGCTAGAAACTGAAAGAACTGATTTGCAAGTCTTATATCCTATATCCTTATACACCAGCAACATCAGACTGCAAGAGCTTGAACAGACGACCCTGGATGGAGACCTCTGTGTGGCCAACTGAACTAAGATGTGCGCAAAGAACCTCATATCATCCTGGGCAAAGTTTGTTTGTTTGTTTTTTTAAAAGAGATATATTGCAATCCACCAAATATCCAAAAATTGAAATGTGTACCCATAATGCATTGTTGGCAAAGAGATGGTGAAATGGAACCCCTCATTTGCTCCTGGTGGCACTGATATCGGGACAGCCACTTCGAAGAGTTATTTATTTTTGTGTGAAAGGCAGATTTACGGAGAAGGAGAGAGGGGGATGGGTATCTTCTGTCCACTGGTTCACTCCCCAGATGACTACAGTGGCCCAGGTTAAGGTGAGCCAGGAACTTCTTCCAGATACCCCGTGTGGATGCAGGGGTCCACAGACTTGAGGCACACTCCACTGCTTTCCTGAAGAAGGAACTAGATTGGAAGTGGAACAACCGGGATTAGAACCATCATCCATATGGGATTGCCAGTGCTTCAGGTGGAGGATTAGCCTGATATGCCACCATTTTGGCTCCCAGGGACAGCCACTTGTAAGAGTGTGTTCTGCTGCTTTCCCAGGTCATAAGCAGGGAGCTGGACTTAAACTGGAGTAGCTAGGACACGAACCAGTGCCTATACAGAATGCTGGTGCCTCAGGAATTAGCCTGCTTTGTCACAATCCCAGCCCCAAGGGTTATGTTTCTAATATAGGACATTTGAGGGGCATACTCAACCCCTAAGCCGTGATGTGGTGATAAGTACAGAAGCTCAGGTGTGAGGTGACCTGGGTTCATAGCCCAGCTGGGCTCCTTTTGTGCTTTGTGCCTTTGTGAAAGCAGCTCAGCAGTCATCATGTTATTGTTCCCAGTTCTGAGAAACCAGGCTCACAGCACTGACCTAGCAGTTCTATAAGGGTGTGTATGACATGGTGCACGATGGTGCTCCCTCTTGTAGGCTCAGGCACATTGGTGCAAATTTCATTCCCTTCTATTGTATCCCGAATCTTCCATATACTCTCA